AACTCAAAATTTGACAAACAACTCTTTTTTGTTTAGACTTGCAAATAAGACCAAAAGCCACTATTCTGAGCAAACAAAGGGCCAAAAAAAAAATCAAATAAGCTCCGGTTTACTGAAATAGCATTAAATGTATTTGGTTAAGAGTTCGGTATGACTCCGATAACAATAAACAGATAAGAACACAGAATGGAAAAATCTTACACACCACCTTTGAAAAAAACAGCAATCGAATTAGTTCTGAAGTACAAAAAAAGACCCTCTCCCAAAAGCTGGGAAGTCCATTAAGTTGGCCACCTAAGAAATGGTTCTCAGTACAATGTTAATCACAACAATGGATAGACACATACCACCTTTTTGCCCCCACACAACCTGGTCTCCACAGCACAGTAAGAGTGATATTCTAAAAATGGAAATCTGGTCAGTCACTGTCTATGCCTCCCCCACCACCCCTACTTAGAATAAAATATAAAGTCCTTCCCGTGGCTCTTGGGGCCTTACAAACCTTAACCTTACTTTTCACACCAACTATCTTCTCCCGAGCCCCAGCCCCGGGCTTGCTCTCTGTTCCTTGGACCACCATGTTCAATCCCAATTTGGGGTCTTTACACTCACTGTGTGCTCACTCTGCCTAGAATTTTCTTTCCCCAGATCTTCGCATATCTGGTTCCTGGTTATTTCCTGGGTCTGTTTCACTCTCAGTAACATCCTCAGAACAGCAATCAATCAGTGTGATCTTCTTCACCCACCATCTTTATCACAAGACCTTGGACTTTGTACATCAGGAATGTACTTTTCACCATCAACAATTACTTTGTCAGGCCAGTAGATGGCGAAATGGTTACATCTCTGGACTCCCATACGGTTGGCCATGGTTCGAGTCCTGAGCTTGAATCTCACACCAGGTGCATGTTTGTGTGAGCCCTAAAAACCCAAAAGGTGCACCAATCCCTTCTCCTTCATTCTCCTTTTGGGTTTTAGGGTCACACCAACTTCTCACTTTCTGTCTCTCTGGCCAACACACGCATCCTATAGCAAAAATCTCTTTAAAAATTACTTTGTCTTCCTGCTCTTTTAACATCTCTCTCTATGATCTGGTAAACTAAAGTGAGCCCTGTCTGCCCAGTTCACAGAGAATCCATAACACACGAGGATATCAGGCTGTGCTGAAGGAATGGAGGAATGACCGCACATTCAGGAGAGCTGAGATAACGCAACTATGGCTAGCTTATCACAATTCTCAGGATTGTACCTGCAGCACCAAGGGATTAAATATGCCTTTTGTTATTTTATTAGTCTTTAACAAGGGCCAGAAAAACTGCTGTCCTGCTGTTGTGTTAAGCCACTGAGACTCTGGAGTTGCTTGTTACTTCAGCAAAACATAGCATATCCAGATTAGTACAAGCTGTATAGCTTGGTAACCAAAGAACTGGGGCCTGAATCAGATACGCATGGGTTTAAATCAGAGCTCTTTCACTTTCTGTGACAAGCCAGGACCATGCCATCTCTCTGGGCCTTAATGTCTTCATCTACAAAATGGACGTTACAATATGTATGCTTCATAGAGTTTTTGTGAAGACAGAATTAATGAGAGAATGTATATAAAGTAATGGGATACCTAGCATGTTTGTTAAGCACTCAATTTTTAGCAAGTGGTATAAACTCAGGCATATCTACTCCGAGCTACTAGAGCATTTTTGCATTATGGAACTTTGCTGGTCTTGGATATTCTATAGAGTAAAGCATTCCAAGCTGTTTATTCAATGAGAGAATCACTTAAAGTTCTGAGTTTTCCAGGACCAGCAGTTAGTGTAATGGCTATGTCGCTGGACTCCCACATGGTCGACCGCAGTTCGCGTCCTGAACCCAGGTGGCTTGAAACTCACGTCGGGCGCGTGTGGGTGCGTGCCCAAGATCCCGAGAGGAGAATGGAGGAGAAGGGATTGTGGCATGACCATCCCCCCTGGGGGGTGATTTCTCGCTTTCTGTCTCTCTGTCTCTCTCTGTCGTCTGGCGAGCGCATGCGCCCTATAGCAAAAACCTCTAAAAAAAAAGTTCTGAGTTTTCCAAGGTTTATCAAGGGAAGAAAAAGCAGGTACAATTTAAAAGTTAGGTATCAGAATGGGTACAGAATGTTAACAAAGCAACTAAAGAATATCTATGATCTAAGAATGGACAGAAAAGAAAATGAAGAGAGATGGGAAGAAAGAGTGATAGCTCCTCCTACCTGCCAACCAGGCGTGGGCTCAGTTAGCATGAACAAAGACTCACGTGCAAAGCAAGCTGAATTCTAAATTGAGAAGAGGAGATGTATTAAGAAAGGAGTAAATGTTGAGTGAAAAGCAAAAGGGAAGAGAAAGAAAGAAAAAGAACATGTGGGTCTAGGGGCTTTATGGAGCCCCAGCACTGGGCTCAGGGGAGGGCCTGGCGAGCTACTACTTATGAGGAAGAATTTCACATGCATTGATCACAACTAAGCACAATAGTTCCGAAAGCTGTCTCAATAGTCTTTGCTTTAAATACTGGCGGGCTTTGGCTCTGTTGTGTTTTCTTAAGGAACTGCTTGCAAATATTATGGTATGATCCTTCAGACCCTAAAACTCAACAGGCAGGTGCACATGAACAAGTTATTCTGTGCTATTGTCTTAGAGACCATGCATATCATAAGAGATCTGATAGCTACAATTCATCATAGTAATGCTGGTCAGTTCCTTGAGAGAATAATCCACCTCTAATTAAACAAGATTTTAATTATAAGTCAATCTTATTCAAGTTAAAACTTAATTTCTATCTTAATTTTTGTGTCATTTTTTAAAAACATTTATTTATTTATCTATTTCTTTGTTGTGATTTTCAAGCCCCTGGGTCCAGGACTTGAACCGTGGCCAGACATGTGGGACTCCAGAATCTTAGTTAACCATCATGCCACCCACTGGCCCCATGTTATTTTGAAGTTTTCATGTACTTACTGCTCATTTTCAATGTCTGAAAATAAGAATAAATATAAGAGGGAAAACCATAAACTACCATGAATAATTTCTAATTTTAAAAAGTTACCGGGGCAATTGTTTAAACACACTGATAGATTTTTATCCCATGACTTCATAATCAGGTTTAAATCGCATATAACTAATATTCTTCAAATAATGAAATGTAACTAAAAATAGTGAAAATTTTACTCATAAAAGTGGACAGTTTTTATAATCCCAATAAAAGTTGCATTACTACCAGACCATTTAAATTATACCCAAGTCAGAAATGTGTTAACCATTAGAAACATAAGAAGACACTTTTCCACTAAGATCTGGTATTTGGCATCAAAGGGAGCCCTTTCCAGATCTGATATTAAAACTTGTCAAAAGCAAAATGAAATTGTAAAGGAGCCGAACAAAAAAAAAAAGGAAAAAGAAAAGAAATGGTTATTGATAAGCTCTTTTGAATGGCATGAAGACTTTGTTTAAATGTAAGTTCATTTGCTATACATGAAATATTTAAGTGAAGGTGTGTGATGTCAAAGAAGCCTACACACACTAGAAATATAACCAGCCTAACAGGGTAGAAGAATTAAGGCATAATTAAGCCTAAGGTTAAAATGGTAGGCATTTAAATAAATGATTATTCAACAGTGATGCAATAAGAGCCATGTCAATATTTATATTCCACTTTGGAAGCAATCACGATCATTCTCACTCACAATCAAGACCACTGTAAAGTGTCTAGGCAGCAGCAAGGCAAGCTGCTTTGGGTGACCACATTCATATTAAGAATCGATCTTAGAAGAGAAACATAAATGACATCTATGTCATATATACATACATATAACTCTGATGGACAATGACAGTGAAAATATACTCTATTCTCTTTTCCCTCCCCCATCACACCATTTCAAAAATAATTTGCCTTCCAAAGCATGTCAGTAAATCTGCAAGTCTTAAAAAAATAGAAACCATGTGCTCCATGTGTTCACCAGATTCACTTTTTATGGTGTACAGTCCTCTGCATTAAAATAAGCATATTTCTGATAAAGAAAGTAATGAAAGAAATCAAAGGAATATATTCAAAAAATTCACATCTCCCAATGTAACATGGGGCTGAATTTATTAAATTTGACCACCTAATTAAATTGGATCTCCAATTAGAACCATCTGTAAATGATGAAAAGGTGTCCAAACTTTCCATTGATATAGGATACAAAATCTTTTCAAATCTGAGAGTTTTAAGCTATTTTAGCTTATCTAAAATACATATATTTTTAGATTTTGTCTTTTATATTTAAAAAGCACACATAATTATGACAATTTTTAAAGGGAATGTTTCTGACACCGATAAATTTCTATAACCGTGAGTGAAATGATATTCAAGACAGAAAATAAAACTCGTCTCTAGAATACATTAAATTTCTATAACTGGTTTTACTTATCAGAGCTCCCTAGACGCTATAGAAATATCCATAGCAGAATAGTTTAATCTCCAGGTAATCCCACATCCTCCTGTAAAGAGAAACACATCTTACATTTAAATATCTGCTCTCTAGTTTTTCATACTATGAGTAGTTTTTTCAAGGACAAAATGCTTAAAGTTTCTTGTTTGATCAAATCCGATTTCTAAAAATAACTTTTAGTCCTCCCTTTTCAACCAAAGATAATTACAATATAAAAATTGTTTTAAATGAACGCTCAATGAACTTTTTCAAAGTAAACAAACAAAATACACACACACGCACACAGAGAGTGTGGCAGCAAAGAGGTAAAAAAGAAAGTCTTAATACCTAAGAATTAGTTCTCTACTCAAGGATTCACAGAAATGCCAACCCACACCAAAACAATAAACATTCCACTCCGCAAACACACACACAATGAAAATAATGAACTAATAAATGGTGATGGGATACAAAAATGAAAATCTGAGAGGAATGGATGTGTGTGTTACTATCTTCTAAAGATCAAGAACTGGTCTAACATCCAGATCATGTGTTGGTATAAATTCTTATTTTTAAAACTCACCTGGTTCATTTTCAATTCCTGTTGTGTTCTGTAAAGATACACACAACAAAGAAACTTCTTTGATTACATGAGCCCTAAAAAGAAAAACAGACAATTGTAATATGTACCTGCCTACAAATTTACAGTGATTTAAAACCACATACAGAACTGTAGAGTTTGTTCAACGGGCTATTCATAAAGCAACTCCAAGGCAGATCAACTTCAATCTATGCTGAGAGCTTACTTCTCAGATTTATTATCTACAATAAAATAGATTTCTTACTAATCCTTACTAGGACTTCATTGTACTCTAAAACTGAAAGTAGACTCATTAGAATGACATCAAAATCCTGTTTTAGAATTATATCATTCCTAAGGAGAAAAAAAATAGCTTTGTTAACAGTCAGAAACACAAAGCACTGCTGAGGAACTGAGTATTTGTTGTAAGTGTCCTTTGCTTATAACAATTCTATGTTGAAGGAAAACACAATTAGATCCCATGACATTATGCTACTTTTCAAATTTCTGAAGTAGAAAGGTGGATTTACTAACACCAGTCACAGAGGATTCCCTTTGAGGAACAAAACAAAAACTTATGGTAGGATGCAAATGTTTTAATAAAAGATGTTGGGAAAAAGCTTTAAAATGTTGTGTTCAATGTATTCGTAATATAGTAAAATAACAAGACAAAAGCATTTCTTGTAAGTACATATGACATACTTGTTTCTAAATAACAATCTATGCAGATGGCCCTTCCTACAAAGTACACTCTAAGAATCGTTTGATGCCATGTATAATTCACGAATACCATGCCACTTTAAGTAGAACTTCCACTGTTAATATTCTAAACTGTCCCCCAATGTATATATACATTCACAACTAAGCAGCACTCTATATCTTTATGGTTGTTTATAATAACTTATCTTTCATTTCTAGACTAACAAAACTCTGCTTACATTGTAACTTTATGTTCTGTTAACAACTCAAAGAATATGTAACTCAATGAATGCTTCATAATGAAAGAATATAACTAAACAACTGTTAAGCTGTTGTCATTTGATAGGGAGGTCCAGAGACCAGAAAATCTAGAGATAATGTGCGACTCCCCTGTCTGAGGTCAGACCAGCCTGGCAGCCCCAACCAATCTCCATCACCAATCCTCTGAAATAAAGCAGATTAATCTAGAGATAAACACGAACTAACATTAACGTAACACATTTAATGACATTGATTAAATTGTCTTCATGTTGGCCACTAGCAGATTTATAAAATCTACAAAGCTATAAAAAAGGCAAAGTGGGCCAGCCCGTGTTGTGGTTGTTGGGGTGGTGGAATTCCCACATGGCTGACTGCAGTACCAGTCCCGGACCTGGAGGCTTGCTTTCTCTCACTTTCTCTCTCTCTCTCTCTCTCTCTCTCTCTCTCTCTCTCTCTGTCTTTCTCTGGGGAAACTCATGTGAAAAAATAATAATAATAAAAATAATTCTTTTTAAAAAAGGCAAAGTAAAAGCAGTAGCAGTATCAGAGTATTTAAGATTAGCTTAAGTCTGGGGGATACAGGTAGGAGAGGCAGAATTGAGAAAATACTTCCTTGATTTGATTTCTGCATTTATCAGTAAGTCACTGAAATTATTTAACAATTATTCTTTAGAACAGTTTAGATCTCTTGTGGCTTCTTAGAAAATACTTCACTTTGCAATAGTCACAGAGAAGTCATTGATGTTAATTATCTTATAATTATTTTAAGTTGTAAAAAATTCTCTATTTTGGCACCAATAAAAGACACTATTTTTTTCTCTTTTTTGCTCCTTTTCCTTCTCTTTCTTTCTTTCTTCCTTTATTTATTTATTTTTTTAAAGACAGAATTTTCCTGTAGGTCCTATCTCAAACTTCCAGCTAGGAGTACAGGTCACGGTCATCCACGACAACTGATTCTTTCTTGAGATAGGGTCTACGTTGCACATGCCTTACTGCAGTCATTGGGTCAGACACATGCCACCAAACCTAGACTTTAGGTTCCATCAAAAATCAAAACTGGGCTTCCATGTGGTCCCAGCCTACAGAGCACAGCATCTTAGCGGCTCATGCCTTATTTAACATTTACGTCACAGGAAGCTTATAAACAGAGAGTAAAACAGAAGAGAATTAGTACAGTTGCATAAAATTTAAAAGATGAAAAATTCAATGAAAACCAGGACAGGAGAAAAAAGTTTTAAAATAATATTTTGTAAAATGAGTGTTAGAAAGTTTATGGCCAACAAAAATATTCTAAAAGGGCTGGCCCTGCAGGCTAGTGATTAAAGGAGCCAAACCCAAATGGCAAGCCACATTTTTTTTTTTGAGAGGTTTTTGCTATAGGGCGTGTGCACTCGCCAGAAAGACAGAGACAGAAAGCAAGAAATCACCCACCCCCCGGGGGGGGGGGGCGAGCACGCCCAATCACCCCCCCCCCGGGGGGGGGATGACCACGCCGCAATCCCTTCTCCTCCATTCTCCTCTCAGGTTCTTGGGCACGCACGCACATGTGCCTGGTGTGAGTTTTAAGCCACCGGGTCTGGGACGCGAAACACGATCGACTACGTGGGAGTCCAGCGACACAGCCATTACGCTAACTGGTCCTAGTAGTTTGAAAAACATGCTGGGCACGTGTGCTTGTCTGCCCAAAATCGCAATGGGATGCAAAAAAAGAAGAGATTGCGACACTACCATGCTTCATTGGGAGGGGTTTCCTTCCTCTTCCTCTCTGTTTCTCTCTCTGGCAAATCCAAGAGCACTCTGACTATTAAAATGAAGAAAAAATAAAGAAAAATATCATAAAACTAATTACTACCTAAAGTCGATCTCATGACAAATAAATATCACTAAAGCAAATATAGAAATGATTAAGCTTTTAGCAGAGTAGATTTACAGTGTCTATTGCTGACCTTAACTTATCGTGACCGAAAGATTCTTGGAATCCAGAAAAATTAAAAAATCAGAAGTATGCCAACTTCTTAAAAGTTATTCATTTACAAACACTACTTATATCCATAGTCATAGAAAACTATCATATTCTTACCAAAAAGGTAAAATCACCAAATTACAATCTGTAAACTCCACATAACAATATGAAAATATGTAATGCCCACTTAATAGATTAAGCCAAAACACAAACATTGAATCTGCCTGGGAATTTGCTAAATGAAAAATTATTTTCCTCTTCTAAAATAATACAATTCTACAAGACTAATCAACTAGTTTCACACTAAAAAAGACAGCCCCACTTTTTCTAATGTAAACTATATTACCTAATTAAATAAAATGAAGAATCAAACCTGACATGTTAATCTTTTTAAGAATAAGAAAATGGCATGGAAAGAGAGAGAAACACTGAGCACACAGCTAAGATTTGGCAAACTGCTGCATCAGAGGGTGTGGAATTCCTCTGCTCAAAATCACTCTCTCTTGTCTGTTTCAGTATTTGGATGTGTTTCTCACTCTAGCCAATGCCAAAAGATAACAATAATACAGGGTATACACCTAGGGGAATCCCCCAGCTACCCACATGTATGAAGAAATGCGGTATGAGGAATAGACTGTTCCACAAATACACCAGTCATTTCTCCTATTTCAATAGACCTATTTGTTCCATGAAACTCAGAACACCATAAATGTCCCAAGGCAGGATTCCCAAAATGGACAGAGCAGAAAGCATTCACTCCACAAACCTAAAGAAAGGGGAGTTTAACCTATTTACTTGAGGTAGGAGAATCTGATACAACAGAGTTTCTGTGTAACAAATCAGAAAAACAAAAGAGGCAGACCAGCCAGTAGCACGGTGGTTGCAGCAGCTGGATCCTATATGGCCAACTCTGCAGTTCGAGTCCTGGACCCAGCAGGTTGGAAAATACATGGGCATGTATACATGCCTGCCCAAAATCTCAACAGGAGGGAGAACTGGAGGAGAGGACTTTCACCCCCAACACTCGTTGCCACTGGTACAATGCACCCACGGCAAAATTAAAATTAAAATAGAGGGGCTGCTGTTCTCACAGGCTTCCGAGCTGCACAGCTCAAATGAGAAAATGAGACTGATTAGAGCTTTTGTTAGAAATACCTAAGTAATGAAGCTCTGAAGTCAACAGCCCTCCAGCTCCAATGGGCCTTGAGCAATTAAACAACATATTAAAATGTCAAATAAGAGACTTGCTGATATACTAGAAAAGCACTATCAAATCTGCATTTAGATGATAGCACTCCAGGGTTTTTGTTTTTTTTTTTCCCCAGAATCTCTTCCTTTACTTAAAGAAAAAAAAAAAAAGATTAATGGAAAATTTTTCAAAATACACTGCTGGAGCATCTAATCATAAAGAGCTGACTTAGAAATAAAGATATGCCAATAGCTGATTATTTATTACTTACCAAATCATGTTATAGATAACTTTTAATATATGCTCTACCTATTCTTTTGATTTTTATATTTCTCTGTATCCATACATATGTCTATACATGCATGTCATAGATGCCTTTAGCTACACAGCTATGTCACATTGCACTGAATAAGTCATTTATTACATCACAAACATCAGGCTTTGTTTAGGGTTTCCATAGTAATTCCCTCTAACTTCCTAATTTAAAATACTTAGTTCCTCTAAAAATAAAAAATGTAGAACATCTTACTTCTCACCATAAAAGTAGTATATTTGGGGGAGACCAGCAGATGGCATAATGGTTACGTTGCTACACTCCCACATAGTCAGCCACAGTTTGAGTCCGCGACCTGGTGGCCTAAAACTCATGCCAGGCGTGTGTGTGCCCAAAATCCCGAGAAGAAAATGGAGAAGGGACTTCAGTGTGGCCATGGCCCCTAGGGGGTGATTTCTCGTTCTTGTCTCTCTCTGTCTCTCCAGCAAGTGTATGCACCCTATAGCAAAAAAACTCTCAAAAAAACAAACAAACAAACAAACAAAACACCTAGTATATCTGTCCCCGTGGTATGAAAAACAAAAGAATCATTGTCCATTTTCCTGGGTGAGGTTAACATCATCCAATCGAAACACCCTTGAACTTAAAAGTTAATTTTCTCTCCTTATTTTCAAGACTAATTGCCAAAACATAGAAATGTAAAAACCAACAAGAAAGGGTAGAGGGAGGGGGGATAAAAACAAGTGCTTTTTAACCTCTGCTGAGAACTAGGAGGTTAGTGCTACAATTCCCATTAGCTCCAGGAAAAGCACAATGTAACCAGCTGCTAACTGTACATTCTGAAAAGAAGTATTAAAGAAGTTTTGCAAGAAGATACTTCTCTGATATTTTCTTTTTGATAAAGCAAAAACTTTCCAGAATTATAAGAAGAAAATTAAGTCAATTCTTTACTAATACTCAAATGCCCAGCTTCTAACAAACAAAATCTTGAAAGCAAGATGTCGTGATAGTTCATTCGCAATTCCCAAAACAAAATGAATTCGGACTCCTTTGACTTAATTGTCTTTTCTACTGCAGTTGCCAAGGCAGATGCTACTTTCGTGATTAAACCTTAAAAATGAAGAGATTTTCAAGAACCCTGCAAAACACCTGTGAATTTTCTGAAACGCAGACGAAGGCTACGGCAATATGGTCATCACTGGCGCTGGCAGGCAAGTGTTCCTTTCTCACATAAAGACTCTCTGAGCATTAACAGTCTCCCTAACCTGGCTGCTGGAAGCTCTCATTTTTCCTATACAATACAGAACACAGAAAAATTCATCTTCCGTATAAACTACATAGAACCGACAAGGGAGGATGCCTGAATTCACAGGTGAACAACCTAAAGCAGAACTGAAGTTATACCAGATACAGCAACAACCTAGCTCTATTTTACTGAATGTCAGGCACACTTACATCACTAAAAGATTCTCTAGGTCTTCCTCCAAGATGTTATTCAGGTATTCTTTATTTGGTAAGGAACAACTCTTCTACTTTAAATCATCTGAGATTTGGGATTTATCCTCTAATGATAAAACTACTTCTGTTCTTGAGAGCATTTAAAAGTAATAGTAATGCCGACCATTGGCAGAACAGTGTGTATGTGAACACTCCAGTTAAACAAGCCCTTATCCACGATTACACTTATTTCCTCAAGATAAATAATGTGTAGTTCTTATTTCAAAGCAAAGACCAATGTCTAACCATTTATGATAAAAAGGACGAAGGACATGTTTGCCATGGTAATAAAAACAGTATGTCTCAAGTGAGTATCTGTACACGGTAAGAATGGAAGAGATGAGTCTGGTTCTGGGGTGCTCTGAGTTTCAGGGTAAATCTAAACTTGACTTTGTGGGTAGAGTTCCCCAGATATAGTGTGAGGAGCTATTATCTCACTCCCAACCCCACCATCTCCCTGCCCCCCTGTCCCAAAAACCCTGAAGGTCTGTAGAGGAGGATGGAGGTGGAATTACTGAAGAGCAGAGTCTATGACCACCTGCAGAGGAGAGCCTGGCTTCATGACAGTCCACCAGGAAGGCAGCTCTGGCCCGTTGGGATGAGAGACAAGGATTTCTGCTACCAAAGGGGCCATAAACAGAAGAAAGTCTAATATTTTCAGAAGCTTAAGTGGGAAGAGTGAGGAGTGGGCAGCCAGAAAGGCTGGGCTGGGCAGGCCAGTTAAGGATCCAAGATAATAAGCAATTAGAGCTTCAACCACAGACAACAGCTGAACGGATGACAATGGCTGAGGTACATGGAAGGCCTGGGTCCCATTTACAGCCCACACTAAAAAGCCAGGTGCAATAGCACATTCACAGGTAGTCCCAGCTGGGGATGCGAAGGCAGGGTTGGGATCACAACAAAGTGAGACTCCATCCCAAAAAAAAAAAAAAAAAAAAAAAAAAAAGAAAGAAAGAAAAGAAGGCCCAGACTTGGTGACATAGACAGCAGCAAACTAAACTACAGCAGTGCTGGAAGCCACACAGCCAACCGCAGGTTCAGTTATCCAGCCCAGTCAACCGGAAACGTGCCAGGCAAATGTCCAAGATCGGGACAAGTTGGAGGACTGGGAGAAGGAGATCACAGCATGACAAGCTCTTGCGAAGGGTGTGAAGGGCGCTTCTCTCTCTCACTAGCTCTTTTGTTCTGTCTCACGTGTGTGGCACTGTTTATCATAAATAAAACAAGTAAGCTTTAGGTATTTATTCATTCATGTATAGGAATGATCGGCACCACAGAGGAAGAGTAGGTAGAAGTGTTAACTGAACAGGAGGTAAAGAGACAGCAAAGGTGACTCCCAAATTTGGAAGGTGACTGTGTACAAGAACAGTACTTTGAATATACAGTTACACATTACATGACAACTTTCAGTCAATGTATATGATACATACAAGTATATGACAGTGGTCCCATAAAAGTATACCATACAACCTAGCTGCGTAATAGATTTGTGTAAGTATATTCTATGATATCTACCCAACTAAATCCCCTAACAATGTGTTTCTCAGAACTTATGCTCCCTCAGTAAGGGACAAATAACTACATCTGAAAGATACAGCAGTTGGGGTCAGCAGATATCATGGTGGTTAAGGTGCTGGACACCTATAAGGCCGACTGTGGTTCGAATCCTGGACCCAGTAGCTGAAAATCATGCCAGCCATGTGTGCATGCATGCCCAAAATCCCAAGAGGAGGGAGGAGAAGGGACTGTGGCATGGCCATCCCCCCTTGGGGGTGATTTCCCACTTTTTCTTTCTCTGTATCTCTCCTCTCTGGCAAGTGCACATGCCCTATGACAAAAATAAATAAATAAATAAAGATACAGCAGTCATAAATACGGAAGGTATTTAAGTGGAAGGTGTTGAACTGCTTTTGTAAAGACTTTGAGAAAGCCAGACATTCCCACCGAAAACTATATCTGTCAAATCAAAAAGAAGGTCCCAGCACAGACTGACCCTCAAGGCTGGAGATGGAGATTCAGAAACCTTCAGTCCCAAGGGGAAAGAAAATTGCCAAGAGGAAACATGTGCAGTGAAAGAGTAGAAGATGAAGTATTTAGCTTGTGAAGTTACAAAAGGGATTAAAAAAAAATAAAGTCACTTCCTCCATCATGTCCAGTATTGGTGGTGTGTGGGGAGAGAAGGTCAAAAAGCCTAAGGTCTCATCACTTGGAAGTCTCAACAGTCTGCCATGTCATCTCTTAAGATATTAAAGAAAAATCTTCTAACATGTTAATATTTTTGAAAAACCTAATGTATCTCAAATTGCTTGCATATTCTTTTATCTAATCATTTCGCAACATCCCCAGTGAAAGAGAGAAGCAAACACTGTCCCTGTTTTACAAATAGGAAAAGGCAGGGCAAATGAGCGGCCAACGTCCACCACAGCCACCTGCTCAGTGTCTCCTACCAGTCACTGGTAATGGGGCCTCACAACTAGGGACCTAAACTTATCCCAAGAACCGTCCTTTTGAAAACGGCTACTTTCAAATACACTTTAAAACTAGGTCTTTCAGAATTATAGCCAAAGTTCCTAAAATAAAGCCTCACAGCAAGAAACACTCAGAATGTCGCTTTTATACTGGTACTCCAAACTATGTTTAATTTATATCATCTTTGATCTTGGGTAATATCTAGGCTTCATACCGAAGTATATAAGGGTTTAGTGAATCTTACCATTACTCTCAAATTTTGATGGCACCATTTAAATTATTTCAAAGTGTCACAGAATATTCCCATTAGAGTTTAACATAGTCTTAGCAGAACTACACATAAGCACATACAAAATGTGTTTTTTTTTGTTTTTTTGTTTTTTTTTAACCAATTTCCAGACAGGCTGCCCACTGTAATCAAACTAACAGTTGCACTTAGCTTTACATATTTCAGACAAACTATGCCAAGAAATAATTTAGCTCTTTCAAAGCAAAAACTAACAGGATTTATTCCAAGGGCTACAAAATATTCTTTTCACCAAAATGGCTGGAAAATGTATAAGTATTCAGTGAAACCTCCTTTATTGCCTGTTCCAGAGGACTAATAAATGAAAACACAGAATAAGTATGACAGGAACCAAGGTCCTAAGAATAAATACCACACAGTACTGAGGAAAATATTATAAGCATATTTCACTCCAAATGAAACAGATTTATAACACACAGTAACTCTAATTCAGATTTCAGCGAGGTGGGAGTGGGAAATGAAGGGCATTCTCTTTAAGAAAGAATATTTAAATAACAAGCATCGGTGCGCTGAAATAATGCAGATACTCTGTAATTCAGAAAACCATCCCATTTCCAAGCACAGTTCTAAGAGCACACCTCTTTTTGTGTGTTTTATTAGTCAATATGTTCTGACTAGAGAGTACTTTTACAACAATCAAAATACAATTTATATTATCTATATAAAGATTACAAATGAAGATCTAAAAATGTACTAACCCCCCAACCACCAGGGGTTGCATGAATGATGTATGTTTTCCATAAAGATCAATAAGTTATCTTTAAATTACAACATATTAAGTTAAAGTTTCACAGCA